GCTGAATTTTTAATGCTGAAGCTTGAATCAGATTAGCAGAATGCAAACATCCAAACCCCCTTCGGGGTTTTTTTTTTGTTTTAAACCTTGAGGTGTTAAAGCCCTTGATTTTTCCTTCGTTTTTAACCCCTTGGCTTCCAAAAGCCCCTGGGATCATCACAATTAAACCACTTGCGGTCTCAAAGACCTTGGGCTTTTCACTATCCAAACACTTGCGTATCTAAAAGTCTTGGAATCTTCACCATTTAGACTCTTGATGTGTCCAAAGCCATTGGGTTCGCCGTTATTTAACACCTCGAGGAAGAGTAATTCGGCCACAATAGGATTTTAATCAGGTTCAACAAGCACATCGGGTGTACTTACTCAGGTCACCGCCAAAAATGAGGAAATTTGCAGCTACTATTATTTATTCATTAAAGAGCTGTATGATATGAACCCCTATCAATTCAAAATAAAATAGAATTATTTTCTTAAAAAACAAACAACTAGAGTTTTTTACTCTCTCGGTCACTTTATAAATTTCTGTGGCAGACCCTAGGCCCACAGTATGATAACAATCCCACGGCAGCGGGTTCTATGATACCGGATTGACCCGAAACAACAAGATCCCAGTTTCGGCCAGCGGCTGCCAACCCAGTATGTACATGTTTGTGTTTGTTTATTTTTCTGCATTGGGAGCAGCATACCCCAGAATGCTTGCTCCGGATTTTATTGGTCCACGCCGGGATTGAGGAAAACCCCGGACCTTGGTTCTGCTCGGTTTGTCAGAACGTCATCCACCACAGATCTGTTTCGGTGCAATGTAATGGATGCAGAGAATGGGTGCACTTCAAGAACTGTTTCGGACTAAGGCGTTTGCGAGACTACAGCGAAAGGGATTATGTTGCGACTTGCTGCAGTAACGTAGTCCCCAGCGAGTCCACTTCTTCGTCGTCCTCATCAGAGACGTCGTCGGAGTATGGCACTCCACCGCAGTCTCCAGAACAGCAACCAACACCGCAGCACCTAACGCCACACGTTACTGTTCCAACTCCGGATTGTGCATCATTCTTGCAATTCAATTGCAACGGACTTCGAGGCAAAGTAGATGAGATAGGGGAATTTATGAGTCGGAGGAATATTAAGATCGCAGCGGTGCAGGAAACCAAGCTGAATGAAAATAGCAGCCTACAACGTTGTTATGGTTACAACGTACTAAGGAAGGGTCGCACCAGAAGTGGAGGTGGGGGATTAGCGTTCCTGATACACCATTCTGTTCAGTACAGACCTATCTCGCTTGAGCTAGTCTCTAGTGACCCATACATACATATTAGCCCATTATCGGTAGGCAATAACCGCCTTGTACTAGGGGACTTTAATGCCCACCATGAGTTGTGCCATTCCGTCCTAGGTAATGACCAGAGGGGATCAGCGCTGGCAGAGCAGATTGACTGCTCCACATTCTGCACGGTTAACGAGGATGCCCTATAAAGGTAGGTAAAATCAAGGTAGGGGTATGTTGGCGCTAGAGGATGACGAATTTAACAATGTCAAATCAAACGGCATAAAAGGCTAACAAATTGGCAATGCGTTTATTTCTTTGAAGAAAGTACATAAGTAATGGGCAAACACTTTTTACATTACCACTGCAGTTCAGCTCCTCTCTTTTCAAGCGTCAAAATATTACTTGATGCTCACATACGAAACAAGAAAGGCGAAAGGGCTAAACTACAGTGTTGGTAATGTTTTGGACACATTAATATACTACTATTTATACAACACTGATTAAACAACACTTAGGGAGTTCACGACACCCCCTACCCCGTGGAGCGATCAGCTTCACTATCAACCAGGACGAGAATGGCCAGCTTGGACACAGGCCTCTGGAGCACACCAACCTTTGTCTTTACATTCGCTCGTCTCTCCACACCATCGGACCCCTGATGGACTTTGACCACTATTACACGACACCATTGATTCCTAGGCATATTCGGGCCACATATAAAGACCTATAAAGACCTATCTATTACCCAACGTTTCCAATAAAGTCGACAAATCATGAGCTAATTCCAAGTGAATAACTCGTACAGATAAGCATGTGAATAACGCTTCCCAACGCTTTTCAGTTCTTTACCCAATGGTGACAGTAAGAGGGCCGAAGTAATCAACACCTGTATACTGAAAGGGTGTGACACACGGTATAAGTCTGCCTTTCGGCAGCTGACCCATTAGCGGAGTTCGCGGTTTAGGTTTCATTAGCCGGCGAGTCATAAAATTTGATATGGCACCACGAAGTGCTCGACCTATTTTAGTAACTCAGTACTTTTTCCGGGCTTCACAAATTTGTAGTTAGCTTTGTAGTTGATGTGCTTCATTTTTAAGTGGTAGGATCGAATAATTAGCTTTGTGAAGGCATGACTATGCGGCAAAATAATCGATCGCCTAGTGTTGTATGGCAAAAGTTGGCTGCATCAATGCGGCCATGCACGTGCAGCAAACCTTCGTCATCAATGTAAGGCGTAAGCATTTTTAAACAGCTGTTCTTTGGTAGTGGCGTGTACTGCTTAATGCATGCTATTTCAACTAAGTATGAAGCTTTTTGCGTCTGCATAATGACATATTTTCTGCCGTGGCTAATTCGCCAGCAGATAGGCCATACCTCCATATTTCCTCCCTTTTACCACGGTAACGCATGATAAAACGAAGTACCAGGTAAAACTTCGGCGATCCATTTTAAAACCGTTTTGGAATCCCGTATATGATTTTGGAGAAAAATCATAGCCGTCCAAAATATGTTGCAGCAAATTAGTGCCGAGTACTGCGGCTTGAAGCTCTAAACGATGTACTGAGACAGTCTTTAAGGGCGCGCATTTTGTCTTGGAAGCATCAACGAAAATATGAAGTTGAACTTCTGTTCGAATCCTGTCCTTTTTTGTTATTTTCCAGGAATAAACCTAAACTCGGCTGGCTCCCAAATGACAAGACTGGCAGGATTTCGGCAAAATAAAAAGCTGCGTTTATTTGGTTTATTTGTTTACAAATAGTGAATTTAGTTGTCGTTGTTTATTCTCTGTAAGAATTTTAAAAATTTAACAAAAATTAAGTTTACAAAAAAATAAAAATATTTAATTTAAAAACAATAAAAATTAACACGACTTACTTATTTTTGGGTTCTAACAAAAAAGGGAATAAACAATGGCCAGAAGGGCCTATTTATATAAAAAGTGACATTAAGCAAAACAACAAAAATAAACAAAATGAAGATGTTGGCTTAAATTTAGTTTCGTCTCCCTCTTCGCTTGGGATATTTCGGCCATTTATGACAGTGGTATTTCAAATTTGGCTACACTTTTTTAGCTTTGGTAATTGCAGGGTTACCATCTTCAACATCCCCACCCCCGTGAACTGACCCAGAGGGGGAGGCTTCACCAACTCCGTCACCAGCCGCTTCCACGTCCAAAATGGCAAGTTTGGACACAGGTCTGTGGTATACACCGGCACTCGTTCTCACCTTGGCTGATCGTGCCACTCCGTCTTTGCCCCTGAATACTTCGATGACTCGTCCACGTCTCCATTGACTCCGAGCCATCTCTGGATCACAAACAAACACAAGGCAACCAACATCCAACGACCGAGAAGGAAGACACCATTTTGTTCTTCGAGTTAATTCTGAAAGATATTCCCGAAGCCACTGATGCCACATGCCATTCTTCAAATTTTGGGTGACGCGCCACTGCTTCCTTAAACACATCAGTCTAGGCTCAAACGGTGCTGGAGTCTGGGTTGAATTGGTACATCCAAGCAGAAAGTGGTTTGGAGTCAATGGATCTGGGTCTTCTGGAGTAACTGGCAAATGTGTAAGTGGCCTGCTGTTGACCATATTCTCCGCTTCAATCAGGAACGCTTGTAGAGTCTCCAGTTTTGGGGCTTGCTCCTTTAGCATGATGTAAAGAGCCTTCTTAACAGATTGGACAAGACGCTCCCATACTCCGCCTTCGCTGGGATTTACTGGCGTATTGTAGACCCATTTTATTCCAAGAGCTGTCAGACCAGAAGAAACGGAATTAGTGTCTAAAAAATTGGTTATACCTTGCAGCTCCTTTGCTATGCCAACGAAATTCGTCCCATTGTCGCTTCTTATCATCTCTGGGACGCCTCTTCGATTGATGAAGTTCCGAATACACATTAGGCAGGAATCACTCGACAGGTCTGTTGCAATTTCCAAGTGGACAGCGCGAACTGTAAGGCATGTAAACAGTGCCACCCACCTCTTTTCTCGTTGTCTCCGGATTGACACTGTTACAGGACCAAAATAGTCAAGTCCTGTGTAGGTAAAGGCTCTGACATAAGGTGTGACACGTTCCAAGGGTAACGGGGCCATTTGTGGTTGAATTGGTTTGGCCCTACGAATCTTGCAGACAAGACATCGGGACTGAACGCTTCTTAGAAGTTGACGAAGTGACGGAATCCAAAATCGCAGACGAATTTCGCTCATTGTAGTGGCAACATTTATGTGACAAAAACGAGAATGGTAAAATTCCACCAGCAAAAGTGTAAAACGATGACCTTTGTGTAGAATTATTGGTCGTCTGGTATCCAGGGACAAAAAAGCAGCATTTTCTATTCTTTCAGATACCCGAAGCAAACCATCACTTCCAATTTGTGGATTTAAAGACTTTATGGAGCTGTTGGCAGACACTGATCCAGTTCTCTGTATGTCAAGAATTTCATCCCCATATACTTCTTGCTGTACGCAGCAACAGAGATACATTTCTGCCCGTGCTTCTTCTTCCACCGTCAAATCACCCGACACCACTGATTTCCTCTTCATATTTTCAACGAATCGGAATGTCCACGCTATTGCCCGTTTCAGCCTACGATATTTTGAAAATCTATTAATATCTGGAATACAAAAACATACCTGGCAAGCCACCAAAACTTTGTATGTGTTTCTTAGCTCTGTTTTGCTGTGATCCACACAGGTTCCAATTTGTCCCTCGTCCGGCCAATACTTCTCTTCTTTTCTCAGGAATTCTGGCCCATTTTTCCAACGTCCTTCTGGCTGGTACTTCTTGGGTCCTTTAGCACGGGTCCCTTCGTCAGCTGGGTTTTCCGCTCCTGGACACCACCGCCACTGCTCCATACGGCTGCTTTCCAGAATCTCCGACACTCTATTTGCCACATATTGTTTGTATGTACGGTGTTCTGAACGGATCCAACTTATCACTGTTGAGGAATCTGACCAAAAATAAATGTTATTAATATTCTTCAAATGATTTTCCAAATTTTTTTCCTTCATTCGCACTCCAATTACTGCTGCTTGCAACTCAAGCTTAGGTATAGTATGGTATCTTGTTGGGGCACAGCTCGTCTTGCCCATAACGAACACAACACTTAGACCACAATTAGTTACTATACGCCAGTATGCCACAGCAGCCATTGCATCTTCACTGGCATCCACAAACACATGCAAATCTACTATACCATTAAAAAATCCATCACTGTAACACCTCGGAACTTTGAAATCCTTTAATTTAGGCAATTCCTCCAGCCAGGTCTTCCAGCGGCTATAAATCGCGGCCGGCAACTCCTCGTCCCACTTTATACCACTTTCCCACACATTTTGCATAATTATCTTCGACGTCACCATAAAATCACCAAGAAACCCGAATGGATCGAATACGGACATATTTAAAGACAACATTTCGCGTTTCGTTGGCACTTTTTGCAATTTCAATATTTTTTCATCCACTTTGTGCAATTTTAATTCAAAACAAAAAACATCTGATTTTGGCAGCCAATGAATACCGAGTACCCGTTCCATTCCATCATCAAAAATGGAGTTTCCATCACTTTCATCAGAAATAGGGTTGCCAAACATACGTTGTAAAACAAGGGAATTAGACTTGATGTTGCGGAGATTAAATCCACCCTCTTTGTGAATTTTTATAACATCACGTACCACTTCAACTGCCTCACCTTCAGTCTGGAAACAGTCGACGTAATCGTCTACGTAATGACGATCGATGATTCCTTGTACTGCTCTTGGCGACTCATTTATAAACCTTTGGGCATTTAGGTTTTTCACATATTGGGCTATGGTGGGCGAACAAGTGGCTCCAAAAATCATCCGTTCCATTACATAAGTTTCTAAGGGTTGACTGGGATCCCCATTTCTCCATAGAAATCGCTGACTGTCCTTATCTTCTTTGGCGATTACAATTTGGTGGAACATCTCTTGTATATCTCCACGGCTACAGGAAATTCCCTGAATTTAAAAAGAATGGAGATTAAAGAGTTATTTATGTCAGGTCCAGGTAATAAGGCTTTATTTAATGAAAATTGTTGAACTTCAGCAGCAGCATCGAAGACGATACGAATTCCATCTTTGTTGTGATTTTTAACGCCAAAATGTGGCAAATAAAACGTTCGGTCGCTCCTTCTTTCTCGTTCTGCTACTGAAAGTTTACGGCAATATCCTTTTTCCTCTTAGTCTCTTATCTTTTTGCAATATTGAGCTGCATATACACTGTCCTTTGTCATTTTTCGTTCCACACACTGCAATCGGTTGTACGACAAATTGTACGATTCTGGAATTGGAGAAAAATGTTCTTTCCACGAAAGCGGACACTGATATCGCCCATCGATTCTTTTCGTGTTTTCTCTCAATATTTTTAACGCTCGTTCATCATCTATGGACAGAATTGGTGTCACATTTACCTTGGTACCCAATGTCTCCACGTCGAAATATTGCCGCATTCGAATAATCCCGGAATGGGAATTCGGCGATTTGGTCGATTTCACGGGATTTAATTAAATGAGCCAGATGGCAACTTTGTATTGGCAATGACAGATTGGACGAAATGTAAACATTGGTTATCGGGTACTTGTTGTTGTACTCACCGACACCACTAATTGTCAAATTAATTTTTTCTGTTTTTTCGTTTATGTTTTGGTTATTAAGCCACTGAATTTCTAAAATCCCCGTTTTCCCGTGTACTCCGAGTTCGCGAGCAACGTCCTCGTCCAGCATGGACACATTGGCGCCGTCGTCAATGAACGCGTACGTCGTTATTTGTTTGTGTGTTCCGTATAGCGTCACGGGCAAAATCTGGAACAGTACGTTTTCGGTGTAGTGGGCGGCATGACAATTTCTTCGTTGTGTTTGAGACGGCGGTGCGTCGGGAAGAGATGGGGTGTTCGTTCGTGGCTCCAAATCTTGTGTGGGTAATGTTCGGTTCGGTTCCTGGGATGGCGTCGCGAGTGTTTTGTGCAACAATTGGTGGTGTGATTTTTGGCAATCATTTATGCCACAACGACGCTTATAGTGGCAATTTTTAAGTTGGTGGCCTCTCTTTAAGCAACAAAAACAAGTTTTAATTTGTTTAATTTTATACCATCGGTCATCGATGGTCATTTTTAAAAAGTGTGGAAAGATTTTTATATTGTTGCACTCTCCCTGACAAATTGGACAGCTCGAACTGACAGCGACATATGCGTATTTTTTTTGTTGTGTTTGTGTGTGTCGGCGATTGGACGAGGTTGCTGAAATTGGCTGTGTGTCGTGGACCATATGTGCGAGACGGCGTAATATTACCAACCAATCGCTGAAATCAACTATAGTGGCGGGGTGCTGGAGTTGCAGACATTTTTCGGCCCATTGCATTTGGCGGTTTATCGGCAGTTTGGACACTAGCTCACTCAGCAAGGATGGATTGGATAGATGGTGTTCACCCTTGGCGTTTTTTAGGAAAGTGGCCATATTGGAGAGTTTGTTGGCAAAGTTGACAAGTGCATCCAAATTATCATCTGCCAGCGGTGGAATGGCTCGGACTTTTTCTACTTGGCTTCGGATAAGTTGCTCTGGTCGACCAAATGTTTCCTGCAGAATTTCCAAAATGGCGCTGACGCAGAACTCCCCAACATGGATTCCACTGTTTCCCTTACTCGGCCCTTCAATGCGTCTCTCAAACGCATGATGTTATGGAGATTGGAGTAACCAAATTCGGTTGTGGTGCTCTCGTAGGCTTCGAAAAATGCCTGCCACTCCTCTGGAAGACCTGAAAAAATAGGCAAGGGATAAATTTTTTTATGTGCATTTCCGTTGGAGTTATTTGAAAGTGAATTTGGAAAAGACTCATCTGTGTTGATAGACAATGGCGGCAGTTGATGCACTTGAGTCTGCAACTGTTGACTTGTTGTTGGCGGTACTGTTTGTGGTGGCAAAACTACTGAATGTAATGGCAGATTCAATGGCGGCTGTGGTGGCAGATTCCTTTGTGGCTGTTGCGGCGTATTCAATGGCGGTTGTTGTGACGTCAGTGTAGGCAATGCTTGCTGCGACATTGTCTTTTGCAAAGAAGCAAACTGCTGTGACGTATTTAATAGTTGTGCTTGCATTTTTGCTTGTGCTGCTAAAAATTCGTCTTGCATTGCTTTCATCTGACGTTGCATCTGCTCCATTTCAAATTTCATAAGTTTTCTCATCTCGGCTAATTTATTTGCAGGATTTGGTGTTTTGGCTGGTGTATTTGAAGGCGGTTTTTGGAGCTGTAACTGAGAAGAAGAAGATTTAGAAGTATTGGCGGGCGGTGTATTGACTGCTGCGGCTGCAGCTGGCATTTGTTGCTGTTTTTGGTGGCTGCTGGTAGGCGTATCTCCTGCTGGTGAGCGAACGACAGACATATCGTAAGTGTCAGGGTTATATCGGGCTGGCGGAATTCCTTGAGTGCTGCGTCCACTGGTTCTTCTGGTTAGATCTTGGTTTTGTGGCATAAAACCGGCAGAATTTCTTGAATACAGGTAAGAATTATTTTTTTTTGTGACTTAAAGTGGTGACAGCTGTTTTTATAAAATGTCCGTCCGTTTCAATAAACAGCAACAATAAACACAAATTCAAAAAGACAATTGACGACGGAAATTAAATTGACATAAAACAAATAAACAAAGAATAAATAATAAAGAATAAAGTTGTCCTTTTTTGTTATTTTCCAGGAATAAACCTAAACTCGGCTGGCTCCCAAATGACAAGACTGGCAGGATTTCGGCAAAATAAAAAGCTGCGTTTATTTGGTTTGTTTGTTTACAAATAGTGAATTTAGTTGTCGTTGTTTATTCTCTGTAAGAATTTTAAAAATTTAACAAAAATTAAGTTTACAAAAAAATAAAAATATTTAATTTAAAAACAATAAAAATTAACACGACTTACTTATTTTTGGGTTCTAACAAAAAAGGGAATAAACAATGGCCAGAAGGGCCTATTTATATAAAAAGTGACATTAAGCAAAACAACAAAAATAAACAAAATGAAGATGTTGGCTTAAATTTAGTTTCGTCTCCCTCTTCGCTTGGGATATTTCGGCCATTTATGACAGTGGTATTTCAAATTTGGCTACACTTTTTTAGCTTTGGTAATTGCAGGGTTACCATCTCCAACAAATCCCAAAGGCAAAATAGCAACGAGGAATACGAACGTCTGCTACATTTTACAGCTCCCAAGATTGGGCATCTGCATTCACTGCGCCATACTTCATACTTAGCTTTCCACAATCTATAAAACAGCTCAAAAAACAGGAGATCAAAGGTAGACATGAGTATGCTTAAAAGTTCACGTTTGGTCGGAGTTTTTTTGACCAGTAATTACAGAGTTGTCGACATGGTGAAATTTTAGGTGAAAACGAAAGTCATCTGAAACACAATCCCAGTAGACGCCTAAGACCTTTTCTGACCCTTCCTTGGTAATAACTTCTCTTGGTTCAACTTTTCCATCTAACGCCCGTGTAACATTTCTTATGTTTGATGTGAATCCTCGCATGATGGCATTTTTAAAACAAAACGAGCCGTGCACGGCGAACATGACCTGCATTTCATACTCATCAGGCGGCTTTGTTTGATCACCATCTCTCCAGAGAAAATGTTGGCTTATACGATCCTCAGGCTGAATAAGGATTTGACGAAACATTTCACTATATCAGCACAAACGGCTACTTTCCCCCGACGAAAGTTGTAAAGTGTATTTGGCAACAGTTCAATGTCCTGTGGTTCCTTTAGCAAACCGTGAGTTTAAGGATACTCCATCAGTTTGGCGGCTGCATCAAAAACTAACCGAATCTTTTTCGGTTTGTTTGGATTGGTCACTCCGAAGTTCGGCAGATACCATTTTCTTTTGCTAGAAATATTTAGTTCTTTGTCCGATAGATTCCGTACGTACCCTTTTTCAATGTATCCAGTCAAAATTTCTCTATAAGCTGAAGAAAACTTATCATCTAGTTGTATTTTGCGCTCTATCCCCTCCAGGTGCTTTAAAGCTGTACCGTAGCTGTCGAACAAGATGACGTCATCAGTTTTCTATAAAAGTCCAGTTTGAAAACGATTACCATATCTGACTGTTGTATTTTCAAGAGTCTTCTTAGACCTGATGTCATCACAACCCTCAACAGGAGGAGCTGGCCTCACGCCAATGCTTTCAATATTAAAAAAATCTGTAACGATCTGGTCGAGTCTACTATCCTTGTACCAGTTAGTGAGGAAACATGCATTTGATGGTTTTGGACCAACACTTAAACATGGTTTATATATTGTCCAGCCATGTTTTGTATTACAGACTATAGGGCATGAGGTTTTAGAGTTTATCATTGTAATAGGCATGCCTAGATGGGCGTGGCCAATGAGAAGTTGGGACACGATATTACTATATGGCTTAATTTGTGATTTCGTTAAGATACTCATAGCATTGCTAATGTCGTTCTCAGACAGGCTATGTGGCGGCAAATTAAGGTTCAATATAGCATAAACGTTTAATAGTATATGTCGTTTGCTTTTGTTGGCTCCACTCACATGAATAATAAAGCGGCCACCAAACCATTGTACGTTTAAGTTGACACTTTTCCCTCGGACTCCGAGTTTTTCTGCGACATCTTTGTCTATCATGGCTATGGACGAACCGACATCAAACAATGCAAACACATCTAGGCAGCAGTTTTCGCCAAGAAGTGTTATCGGAAAAATGTTAAAAATAAGTTTTGTGCTGCTAGGCGATTTTGAGCAGCTCAAAATATTTCGTGGCGATTCTGGTACTGCACTAGGCACTGAAGTACATGAAGAAGTTAATAGTGCTTGCGTTGGTATCCATTTCTTCCAGTAATAAGTTCTGAAAATCAAATATTATATATTTTGGCATGGTCCCACCTCTCATTTACACTCAGTTTCTTAAAGTCAGGCCATTCTCCTAAGTTGT